TTTGGTTTGCCACCACGTCAAAGCCCTTGCGCTGGCGTTTCTCTTTTTTCTCGTCCCCACCACCAGAAGTGTCAGGCGCACTCTGCTTCTCCGAGCTTTGCGGCTCCTCCGCCTTCCGCTTTTTTGGCGGAGTTGTGGGCGCTGAGACCTTAATAGCAAGAATCATGGAGATTCAATGGAAGTCAATGTGACCCAAAATACATTCAGCCCAATCCTTGATCTTGATTGAGGGAGGGAACTTTCAAAAAACACACGTATACAGTCCTATACAGTACACATACACAAACCTGGGAAACAAACTGCCGTGGCCTGGCTAAAAGATCAAGGGATCAGTGATCAGTGGATGAACGGATGACACCGGACCCGGATGAAACCACAAAGCCTTCTCTTGGATGCACTTACAGGTGCAATGTAGAATTCGCAAGGCTGAGCCCACGTCTAACTAATGATGCAATGCCAGATGGTCAGGCGAACCAGACCTGTGCCGTGACCGAAACCCAGAAGTGGCAAGCAAGTTTAGGGTTTAGGGTTTAGGGTTTAGGGCAGACCCACCGCAGAACCCCCGAATAAGACCACCACAAACACGGTGCCTTAACAATACCTCCCAAGGCCCACTAAGAACCCTCCCCCCCCCACGCTTTCACACCATTACAAAGGTGGTGGCGGCGGCCTTAGCAATATCTCCCAGGATCCTCCTCCCAGACTGCTAGAAGGTCAAGAGTCAAGATGGATTTAGGGTTTGAGACGTTGAGGGATCAAGTCTTGGGGTTTGCAACCAAATCAACAAAACCAAGCCACTGGAATGCTGTTGCGGAAGTTCTTGCCCTCGCCAAAGATGGAGTCGCCGTCCGGAGCGAACATCAGCGAGCCACCCTGAGCATTGTCAACCAAGTCACCGCCGCCCACCTTGGCAAAGGATTTGTCGGAGAAGCCCAAATGGCCACTGGTGGCATGCTTCTCGGCGGCCTCAATGTCCTTGCCTTTGGGCTTCTTGGCCTTTGTCCCCTCGAAGCGGAGGCCCTTCACGTGCTTCTGCGCGTTGGAGCCCAGAACAAAGTACTGGGGAAGCAGGAGCACGCCGTTGTTCTTCTTCTGCTTGTGCTTGGGGACCTTGGCCTTCTTCTGCAGCCATTTTCTCTTGGCCTCCTTAACGTCATGGGCGTGATCCTCCTGGGCGACCTTCAGCCACTTAGTGTACGTCATGTACACAAGCTTCTCTCCACTCTCCACCTTAGCAACAGACTGCATCTCCTCATAATGCAACATGAAGTCGAAGCTGCCTCTGGCCTTGCCCGGGCCACTCGATTTGTCGCACTTCTCACGGTAAGCCATGAGGATCGAAAACAGCTCAGCCCCGCCAGCACGCTTGATCTCGGCCCATTTTGCCCAGCGCTCACCCTTCTTCCCGGTCTTGGCGGCCTCCTGCTTCTCCGTGTTGTTGAGGGCTTTCTTGCACTCAGCACCGTAGATGCTCCGCGGTACCCTAGGTTCGTCTTGGCAACAGGCACACAAGGAGTCATCCTTGGCCGGTTCATCCTCCGCCTGGCTGACATCATCAGAAGCCTCCTCATCATCGGCAGCGTCAGCCGCACCACCCTCCTGAGAAACCACCTCATCCGAAAGATCATCTTGGAAAGTCAAGCCGTCGCACACGTCGTCCACATCTGGGATGGCTGACTTGGTCTTGGTCGCCTGCGGCGCCTGAGGCGCCTGCTCAGCCATGCGCTCACAAACTACAGCCACCTAGGCGGATGTCAGATTCGCCTTTACCAAGAAAAAAACTTGTCAGGCAACAGACGGTGGCACAGCTCAGCTGAAGTTGCTGGAAGCACTCAACCGGCAACACAAGCTGCCGTGGCACCAATAGCCATGAAACTGCTGATCCGTGCACCTTTTGCCAGGACATCATGTGACACGATATGGCTCCCAGGAACTGCGCTCTAACACAGGCAGCCCGCAACTCTTGCAGCCACAGCCTACATGATTGAACGGCTAACGTTGCATTATAGCTCTTGGCCTCTGGCTACACGGCTACCCTGAGGCTGGCACTGCATCCAACTAATCAAAACTCTGACAGGACACATGCTGCTGTCAAAAAAAACCTACCCAGCTGCTGATCTAACCTGGCTGTCATCAACAGGCGGCTCATCCGTGGGCCTTTGCACAAAGCTACCCTCATCGCCCTCATCCTTCCCTTCCTCAACCGCGCCCGCGACAATGAGGTCTTGGCTGCTACATGAGGTCCCGAATTCTGTTGACATG